TCTCATAAAATTTTTTTATCCTTTTTTGCCTTTTTATTAGAGTAATTCATATTTAAAACTCTTTCTGTTCCCAATATTCCATTTTCATGTATAATACTATGATCACCACGTCCTATTTCCTTTTCTTCCCAAATCAGTTCCTTTTCTGATACTTGTCAAATTTATACATCTTTTTTCTATATATCGTTTTTAGTAATCATGATTTGTTTGCCTTGATAAGTTCCTATTAATTAAGAATTTGCTTTGGAATTATTCCTTCAAAAATTTATATTTGTTATTATTAAGCCATTTGGGAATTGATGAACATCTATATCAATTTCTTGATCAACGCCAATATTTGATGTCTTGAATGTAACATTCTTACCTTCTTAATAATCTTTCAAAAGAAATTCAGAATCAATATCATCTCGTATGTTGATTGCATTTTGCGAATCTTCAGTAAGTAAACTCATATTAATACGTTCGATTACCATGCCTAATTCACGTACTTTGTTCTCCGTAAAACAAACTGCAAGCTTTAATGCATTATGGGGCAAAATTTAAATTTTTTTGTAATTCTGTGGCTGTTTGAAGTTGAACAAGTGAAAATTTTAATTTTTTTCATTAAAACTGAAAAATCTCTTCAGTAGATAAAGATATCAAAAAAAAGTTTTGAATTCTTCAAAAGTATCAAATAAGAGCTTTATGATGATGTATTATAAAGATACACTTATGCTAGCAAATGTATGAAAATCCAAGGAAAAATATCTTTAAACGTGCCGCAACCATCATAAATGCCCAACTTCTATCCTAAAAACCATATATCACCGTGTAGCTCTTGACTTTTAAATCCAAAACTGTATTCAACTTTGGCTTAATCAGGTGCAAAATAAATTTATTGTGATTTTAAACGTTATTTAAAGATGAACTTTGAAGAAATTTTTTCAAAAAAGTCAAAATTGGTCGAGATATAGGATACTTTTGATATCTGACGACTTGTATGTTTTTTTCTTCACTCAAACCACCAGTACTCTTACAAAAAAATAAATATTTTTTAATTCAGTTTTTATTTTATTATAGCTTAAATCAGTACCTTTCAAATGATGTATAAAACTTGATAGTTTGATCTTAGTCATGAAAATAAGCCTGGTTTGTGACCGACCCAAAACGAAGAAAAATTTCAAAAACGTCATTTCTAGAAATATCACTTAGAATAGAAACAAGTTTAAGTATTGATTTGTAGTTTTTTATGATGATTTATGATAGTTATGACTATTTTAACTCAAAAATTTACATTTCATAAACTTTTTGCTATCTCAGGTAAAAGGTAGCTTTTAAGGTATGACCCTAGTAGACATTGATATTTCATATTAAAACACATCTGAGACAAAACACATTCGGCCTGTTTCACTAAAGTGTATTATCCTCGATTTCGGATTATCTACTTCAGTTTTGTGGAAATTTCTCCAGACGCTCAAGGTTATTAAGAGATCTAATGTGTGATCTAGTTAGAGTACTTTTCTCCTTAAATCAACATCTACTTAGAATTTTTATATCTTCATTAGTTTGAGAATTATAACAAAAATCGAAGTTAATCTACTCGATTTGGCTAGAAAATTGAATGATTAATACTTCTTACCGAAAATCAAAAGTTTAAAGTACATATACAGAAATGAATGTGAAACAGGCCGATTACTTTTATATGGTTACCTATCAAAAATTTTTCATTTTCGCTATTTTGTTAAATTTCAGCTTGCGTCGGTCACATTAAAAACTTTTCGATAAGAAGTATAAGTTTCATACAAATTTTATACACCATTTTAAAGGTACTGATTTAATCTAGCAATAACCGAAAACGGATTGCAAAATATTGATTCTGAATAAAGTTATAGATATTTGAGTGGATCAAAATGCATACAGAACTGCAACCAGCATAGATAAAAATACAAAAGTTGAAAATTTCATGCTTTTTTGGCAATTTTTTTTTTGTAATTAGGATAGTATTTTAAGATTTTTCCAATTCTTTTTTGTAAGATTTTAAGCTATCAAGGACACAAAACACTTATGTAAAATGGTAAACTGTATCGTTGCGTTGATATTGGTTTCTTCTACATGCTTTAATTAAGAAAATATTTGACTTTTTGTAAGCGTTGTACTTGTACAGAATGTTGAATTCTGAAATTTTATCCAAAAATTAACTTAATAATTATTAACAAATTAAAATTTTATCATTGTGCATGCTTAATATACCTTAAAAGCACTTATTAAGTACCATTTAGTAGAAAAATGAGGAATTTTAATCCAATTTCTGTACAAGTGCAACGCAAAAACGTTTATTTTCCTAATCCGCGAACAAAATATTTCAAATTTTCCTTTAATTAACAACTTATTTTTTGATTAGTCCCAAAAATCCCGAGTGTATACGCCTTGATCGAAACCAAAAATGCTTAAAATTGCATTTTAAAACATATCTAGGTATTATAAATGGTAAAGAATGCTAATTTTGATATAAAATCAATTTTTTTTTTGAAAATAGCCTGCTATGATGGAAACCAAAAATGCTTTAAATTGCATTTTAAAACAAATCTAGGTATTATAAATGATAAAGAATGCTAATAGTGATATAAAATAGATATTTTTTTGAAAATAGCCTACTATGATCGAAACCAAAAATGCTTTAAATTGCATTTTAAAACACATCTAGGTATTAAAAATGATAAAGAATGCTAATATAAATATAAAATCGATAATTTTTTGAAAATAGCCTACTATGATCAAAACCAAAAATGCTTTAAATTGCATTTTAAAACATATCTCGGTATTATAAATGATAAAGAATGCTAATATAGATATAAAATCGATATTTTTTGAAAATAGCCTGCTATGATCGAAACCAAAAATGCTTAAAATTGCATTTTAAAACATATCTAGGTATTATAAATGATAAAGAATGCTAATATTGATATAAAATTGATATTTTTTTGAAAATAGCCTACTATGATCGAAACCAAAAATGCTTTAAAAATGCTTTAAATTGCATTTTAAAACAAATCTAGGTATTATAAATGATAAAGAAATCTAATATTGATATAAAATCGATATTTTTTTGAAATTTGTTTACTATGATCAAAACCAAAAATGCTTAAAATTGCATTTTAAAACAATTCTGGGTATTATAAATGATAAAGAATGCTAATATTGACATAAAATCGATATTTTTTGAAAATAGCCTACTATGATCGAAACCAAAAATGCTTAAAATTGCATTTTAAAACATATCTAGGTATTATAAATGATAAAGAATGCTAATATTGATATAAAATTGATATTTTTTTGAAAATAGCCTACTATGATCGAAACCAAAAATGCTTTAAAAATGCTTTAAATTGCATTTTAAAACAAATCTTGGTATTATAAATGATAAAGAAATCTAATATTGATATTTTTTTGAAATTTGTTTACTATGATCAAAACCAAAAATGCTTAAAATTGCATTTTAAAACATATTTAGGTATTGTAAATGATAAAAAATGCTAATATTGACATAAAATCGATATTTTTTGAAAACAGCCTACTATGATCGAAACCAAAAATGCTTTAAAAATGCTTTAAATTGCATTTTAAAACAAATCTAGGTATTATAAATGATAAAGAAATCTAATATTGATATAAAATCGATATTTTTTTGAAATTTGTTTACTATGATCAAAACCAAAAATGCTTAAAATTGCATTTTAAAACATATCTATTTATTATAAATGATAAAGAATGCTAATATTGACATAAAATCGATATTTTTTGAAAACAGCCTACTATGATCGAAACCAAAAATGCTTTAAATTGCATTTTGAAACATATCTAGGTATTATAAATTTTGTGTTTCATTGTCATTTTGACAATTTTCACTGGTGTGATTTTCACGCTTTGAAGTTCCTTCTCCAACTCACTGATTTCCATATCTGGGAGTCCGTAGAGTACGTACTTCTTCAGTGGTTCTTGGCTGGAGTATGTGTGGAAGTGATGGTTTTTGTCTTTGAGTAGTTGGATGAATTTCTCGTAGTCATCCCAACTCTCCATTGTTACCGTTTTTGTTCCTTGTTTGCCCTTTTTGGTCTCAATTAAGAAACTTTCAGGTTGATTGTTTATTTCATTCGTCAACCTCTTGATTTCACCAGCTCCACCTGTGCTGATGACAATTGGAGGTGTTTTTGATTTTTGTTGAGATTTGTTGTTGTTGCTTTCCGTGTTTACGGAAATTGTCTTTTGTTGCTCTGATGTTTTGCTGTTTTCTCCCCAGTACGATGAAGTTGTCGATCTTTTTGTCTCCTGTTCTGGTGAACCAAATAGATACGGTTTTCCAGAAGACAAAGCTTTTTTCATTGGAGGGAGTTCGAACAGTGGTTTGTTCCCATCTTTTGGTTTGCTTACGCTTGCTACTCTTTTGGAAGGCGTGCTGAGAACTATCACTTCTCGAGGGTGTTTTTCTGCTTTACTCGCTTGATTGAGAAAATTCTCCATTGTTTGTTTGGTTTGAGATTTGCCATCTCAAGGTCGGCTGGTTGTGAAACATTTTCACTGATAATTCCCTCAATATTGAGAATTGTCACTAAAGATGAATCTTGTTGTTGAGAACTACTTACCTGATTTTCAGAAAGATTTTGAAAACTTTTTTCGTTGTCTGTAGTTTTTCGTGATTCTATCATTTTGATGTTTTGAGAATCGAACTGGGATTTTAAAAATTTCTGCAAACAACATGTTTCACATGTACTCTCTGTTTTGTTTCTCTTGAGATTTTTTTGAATAAGTTGCGGAGCGATTTGTAAACGCGTCTGTTCACGTTGAGATCTAGTTTGCAACTGAATTCTTTATAATAAGTTTAGTCTAAATTAAGTCGAGTGCGGAATCTTTTCTACGTTAGTCGGGTTTTTAAAGTCTTAATTTTAACAATTATTTGAATGGGATAGATAACTTTTGTCTGAAAAAAAAAATAATATAAATCAAGAATTAATGAACGACTTATTAACTTTTATTTTAATAAAACAAGGATGACACAGATATGGCAAAAATATTATAGAACTTGCAAAACTTATTCATTAAGATTCATCATTTAATTTTATTAAGTAGTAGCAAATTTGACGACTAGTTCTCACATGATATTTGGATATTTGACATACAGAATAGTTTATTTTAATTTTAACGACGAGATTTAAAAACAATAGAAATTCTGAAATGGAATCATTGGATGGGGGGTAAAATCCCCGAAAGATATGAATTCCACGATCCTGCGGGATAATAACCCCGAAAATCGCAAATTTTTAAATGTTCCCTGCGGGATAATATTCCCACTTAGAAATACACGTGAAATTATTATCCTTCCCGAAAGATAATAATCCCACCTATAATTACAAGTGGGATTATTATCTCCCAGGTAGATAATAATTTCACTTACATTTCTAAGTGGGATTATTATCTTTATGGAACACGATTAAAATTATGGATTAAATCAAATTTGTCATAGTGGATAATAATTCCACTTGTATTAATAAGTAGATTTATTATCTAATAGGATTTTCATCCAAAAAAAAATCCCACTTATTAATTTGTCAATTTCATTATTCCAAAAACTTAAATATGAAGAAAACATAAATATTGGTTGAATGTTTAAGTTGAAAACTTGGTTTTTTATGCCTTTTGTAAATTTTCTAAAAGCCTAGAGCCTAGATGTTTAATGTATCAAAGATCTTTTCACTCAAGAAATCATATTCACACAAAATTTTCAATTTTTTGTTTTTGCAAATAGTTTTGAAATGAAGTCTTTCAAAATTTAAAACGTGCGCAACTAATAAATCACGTTTTTATCATTTTTGTCATTGGCAAAATTTGAGTTCACGTGATGCAGGATAGAGGATGCAGGGTTTTTTGCTTTTTTGGAAGCAATGGTTGTTTCTACCTTACCCAATAAAAAAATAAAGCCTTATCCTTTTTAACGCAGCAAGAATCAAAATGCAATAATTAGAAGTCTCTAAGATGCCTCGTTATTGAGATTTTACTGATTTACTTGCCTTGATGCTTGTTTGCTAACGTATCATGCGATTTTCTCATCAATGCTACAGCCAATTTAAATTCTGTTTTTGACCATTTGCTTTTTTTCCTCAAATTGCGAAAAACTGTTTTTCAAGCTAAACAAAAATAAAGTGAATACAGTGTGAATATAAAATCTATTTTAGGATATAAAATTTTTTTATATTCACATCGTTTTCACGTGTGAATCTATTGGTTTTGTTCAGATTGAAAAATCAGTTTTTCGCATTTTTTGAGAAAACGAAATTGGTTCTAAAAGGTCCGGTAAGAAAAGTTTGTGCCTGAAATTTTCAAAAAACGAATTTCAAATTGGTTGTGGCATTGCTGAGAAAATCGCAAAATACGCTTTCTGTAAGCAAATAAGCAAACAAGCAAGCAAGCAAGTTAATCAGCAAGAAATCTCAATAACGAGACATCGTAGGGACTTCTAGTTTTTTACATTTGATCCGTTTGCTTCAGAAAAAGCAAAAAACTTTCCTTTCTCACGAATTTTTTAAAACAAAAGTTCATTGTGATTTTTATAAAATTCAACTTTGGATGAAAATTTTTTTTTAAAAACTTTTAAAGAATGTTCGTTAAGCTTCATACCTTCATACTTATGCTGGGATAATCTTGGTCTATCCATTAGACTTTTGATGGTACGGTGTGAATATAATTCCCGCATTGGGTTTCTGCCCGATACACTAGTTCTGACAGGTTTTATTTTAAGCTTTTCTTTAAAAGAGCTCAAGTTTGAAAGAACTTACAAAATATTACGTTTGAATTTTGTACGAATCACTTTAATTATTTGCTGAACATTTTCAATAAATTTGTGGCCATCAGTTTGTTTAAGTAACCCTGTATACCTGAATAATCAGAATAACTTCGAAATTTTGAGATTATAAACAATCAAATCTCTTAAATGGTCTAAAACCATTGGAAACCTTCTTGGGGCTTGTAGACACGGTTAAAAAGCATCAGAACTGCCATCATTTTAAAATTCTAGTTAATTTAATAAGAATTTGAGCAACAGAATTTTAATTTTGCGTTCTTTTTATGTTTAAATCTTTACATTTTTCTTAGCAAAATGTGTAAACAAATATTATCATTAGATTTACAAATCTAATTTTGTTAAGGGCAATTTACAATTATTTGAATGACGTTTGGAAAATTTCAGGAAAGAATCAAAAATTTATTATTTTGCCCATTAGAGGTTAACATATCTACTTCTAAACATTTGAACAAAACTGTGATTTTTAAACAGTTGAATGAATGAAGCCACAATGATTCAGAATCGGAAAAAATGTTCAAAAATTCAAAAATAACATATTAATTAAACTTCATCTTTTAAATGCCAGATTAAAGATCTTAACTTAAGGCATATCCTATGAAAATATCTCGTCCCAATTTGATGTCTAACTCCAGAAATCATTAATTTAATCTCACCCAAAATTTGTTTACAATTTGTGTATGAAAAAAAAATATGATTTTTTCTACTTTAAGTTGTTATTTGGATGTCTTGAAAGCAGTTGCTAGCTAATTTAAGCTTAGCTTTACATATTAAAACAACAAACTCAATAGAAATCTGCTTATTAAGCCTTAAAAATGAATTGAAATCTGAGTATTTTTACAAAACTTAAACTATTCATAAGTTAAAAAGTCTTCCAAAGACCTCTCTGAAACCTATACAAATCAATTAATTAAGCTTAAATCTATCTCCCATACAACTGGGGACATGCCGTTTGATGCCGTTTTCGAGATATTTGCGATCAAAGTTTACATCAATTTTCATACAAAATTTGATCATGCACAATATTTTTTGATAAACTTTTACAAAGTTTTGGTAAAAAATCATGTTTATCCTTTATATTAAGGACTGATTTTTTGAGCAATGAACGAAAACATTATCTAGAAGATGCTAAAAGATTCAAATCAAGAGAAATTAACAAAAACTTTCAATTTTCTAATGTGTCGGAAAAGTATTGTGCACAAGGAATTTTTGAACATTTTTTCCGAATCTGAATCATTGTGGAAGCGAAACAAAATGGAATTACGGCTACATTTTCTTTAAACATTCGAGCGAATCTCGAACATAATTTTATATGGCATAGCTAACATCTTTAGATCAGTTAAACCCACCTTGATTTTATTTTTAAACAATTTGGAATAATATATTTTTAAAAAGCAAACATTCAACCAATATTTATGTTTTCTTCATATTTAAGTTTTTGGAATAATGAAATTGACAAATTAATAAGTGGGATTTTTTTTGGATGAAAATCCTATTAGATAATAAATCTACTTATTACTACAAGTGGAATTATTATCCACTATGACAAATAAGTTTTTGGATTTGATTTAATCCATAATTTTAATCGTGTTCCATAAAGATAATAATCCCACTTAGAAATGTAAGTGAAATTATTATCTACCTGGGAGATAATAATCCCACTTGTAATTATAGGTGGGATATTATTCAAGTCAATATTTTTTTAAAATTTTAATAATAAACTCGAAAAATATTGAAAAAAATTTTGATCTTCTTAGATTTTATTACTAATCATTAATGTTATCAACAGAAACTATTTGCAAGCAATGAATTTCAATTATACTCTTGTTCGGATTTGATTGATTTGATTGAACAGTTTTATATTTGTAAACTATGTGTTAATTTTTAATATTTTTTTTTAGGAACATGTCTTTCCAGTTTCTAAACATTTAACCTTGATTTAAAATTTTAGGTTGAATATTAAACCAAAGTTAAGAGTTAGAACTTGGGAAATCTTGTTTAAGGTAGAGTAAGATTAAAATGCCAACCAATGAAATATTGTTTTTAAAACTTTTTGGAATGTATTTTACAATAAAAAAAAATTATTAATGAAATATTATTATGCACATGAAACAAAAAGTTTTCGAAACGCGAGGCCTGTTCCAATTCTTTGATATTTAATTAAAAAATTGTGTTATAGCGGTATATATATTTGTTCGAATTGTTTTCTGTAGATAGAAAGTTAAAAAAGTCGGTCTACATTTAAATTTATTTGCATTTGTAGAGTATTTGGTCAGTTGACTAATGTGCGCTAGCCAAACAAAGATTTAATCACTAAGCAGTACTGGAGTTATTCGATGTACCTTTTCAAATGGAATTTAATTCATATTAAAAAACGATTATTCAATTTCAAAACAAATTACTTTTTACCTGAAATAGCGCTAAACAGTGCCAAACTATTTCGATGAGGATTATTTTGGTCATCAAAAGAAATTATTTTTTCATCCATAAGCTCAGACAAAACACAGCACATGTTTTTAAAATTTTCTTTTAATGAGTTATGATATTCAACTTGGTCGTTTGAAATGACTCGTGAGTTTACTTGCAAAGCTTGATAACAAACACTTATAAAAATTCTATTTTAAAAGAAAGAGAAGACATATCATATTAAAAAAATAGTTCAAGCTGAGAAGAACAAAAAAAAAATATGTACCTAAAAATTTCTTTTAAGTCATCAATCTTTTCTGAATCAAACTTTGTTGAAAATTTTGGATCCAAAAACGAATTTGCGTAAGCTAACGGTCCAGCATTAACTTGAACAGCGACGCATCCTTGCAAACGTAATTGTAATTTTTTTACATCAATTGAAGGATTAAAAACTACATCAGTTAACTCCGATACTTTTAAATTCATTTCATCTGTAGCTACTTCAATCGGACTTAATTCAATAATTTGTCGATCCTTTACCGGAATACGCTTTAATAAATATGGAAAACTGTATTTTGCTGAAAATATTTACTCATAATATATTTAAAAACTTCAATGAATAAATAATTATCTACTTACTAGTTAAAATGGTTCTTCTTTTCCATTGATCTTCAACTAAGCTACATCTAGGTCCAACATGATTTTTAGTAAATGGTGTCTCAAACATAAATATATCAATATCATGATTTTGTTCGAAATCGTTTTGTTTAATTTCAAGTTCATCTTTTATGAAAAAAGGTGTAACATGTGTTACTTGTATATATGCTATCTTTTGGTCTAATTCATTCACATTAACCTAAAATTAAAGAAACAAACTAATGCGAAAAAGAAACATTTATTAAATTTAAAAAATCTACTTGATTTGAGTCCATTATTATCTTTACAACATCCGATCCAAATTTGTCTTCAAATTGTTTCTTTAGTCTTAAAGAAATTTCGCTTAAAGTTGTGACCTTAGGCTCTTTGTAAATATACTCCACATTGTGCTGGTCTTCAAAATACATTTGACCATAAAACACAATTCTATAAAATCTTCCAAGTAATCGCTTGCCACTTCGATTAAATTCTATTACTTTTTGATATGCTTGACTCAAATGGCTATATGATTCAACAAGACCACTATAGTCACGACGATTCTCCAACATTGGAATTATCAATCGATATAATTCTCCAAGACACTCATATCTCTCTGATTTATCAAGAAAATCTGCACAATTTTTTAATTGATCAAGCAAAATCATTTCTGTGTATTGAGAGTCTTGTACACCTAAATCTAACTTGAGACCTTTTTCGTCTTTGGGGATGTTTTTGGAAATTTTTGCAAACGATTCTGCTCCAAAATTTACTAGATAGCTTCCTTTTAATTTAAGATATTCAGCAATTAAGGCAGCTATGTGAAGATGGCAACAAGCAGCTTCACTCATATTTAGATTAATTTCATGATTTCTAGCCATTGTTACAAGCCACGTATGACGCAGTTCTGGTGTTGAAGCATAAGAGTTAGCTAATGATAATTGCAGCTCTAACAATTTTTCAGGGTCAGCATGATGTGCTTGCATTGCATGAGTTGCCATCAAAACTGTTCGAACTCGTTTAGTTAAATCTTTAACTTCAGTTGCAAATCTCGTATCCTTCATAGCTTTATCACTGGTAGCATAGCTATTGATAATAGATAAGCTTTCTTGAAATCTCGCATTGTTTAGTCCAATCACATTTCCAATCATTTGCGATACAGATATAATCACTTGTAAATGAACTCTCGTTAATCCGTTTCTTCCACTAAATTCAAAATTGCTTCTCATCAATAAGTACAAAACAGCACATGATTCTTGTCGAACAGTTTGTAAACGACTATCGCAACATTTTAATAATTCGTAAACAAATTGACCGCAAAGCATTGCGGTTCCTTTGAACAAGGCCTCAGAAAAATTATTTATAAATGCCCTCAGTGCTGCAAAAACATGTTTTGATAAAGCTTCTGATTGTCCAATTTGAAGAAATCTTAAGTAAATCTGAGCAATTTTTGGCAACATTCCAGTTTCAACCATAGAATCTTTGAATTGTATACAAAATAAACCGACACAATCAAGTATTATCATACCGACTTCTGTAGCTAAATTAGAATCCTGCAAAGCTTTTTGTAATTTTGCTGTTTCTTCAATCAAATTCTCACGGGTTTGATGATTTAATGTACCAGTTTCGTGTGTGGAATTTACTATTGAGTGGTCGCTTTCAGAATTGACAATTCTGGCAGGAAGTGTGCTTGATTTGTGCTTACTATTATTAAAATTGTTTTTGGTATTTTCACTGAGTTGTATGTTCTTCTTACCTACATAACGAAAAAGAACTAAGCACATGTCTAATATTTGAAAGAAAGATGCTTTCTCCGAAGCATTGCAATTATGCCACCAAGTTATCATATGATCATTGGATAAATGCTTAACAGTAAAAAGAAAGCAAATTAACATATCTTTTGATTCAGGTATAGTAAATCTATCGATTCTGAGAACAGATGGTGTTTGTATCATACTAATTGATCTGTTATGTCCGAGATGATAAGAGGAATTATTATCATCTCCGTTGCGAATTACAACTGTCGTTTCTTGTGACATAGAACTACAATCTGAGTTGAGACTTGACGAAGAAAATCCATTTTTCAATAAACTTTGGCCAGCTATTAAATCCTTAAACTGTGTAGGAACTCTAGAATTATCTACATGCATTGTAAAACGCTTGGACTTGGGTGTACTTTGTATTGGACTGTTGATTGATTGTGTAGGAGTTGATATTTGTGACACGAGCTTCGGTGTCAAGTCACGAGAAAAAACATAGCTACTATTACTTGAAATACGCTGATGACCAGCATAATCTTTCGGTTCTGAGCAATCGGGGATGCGATTAATGTTTTCGATGACTATTCCCAACCAAGGAATATAAAGCATTGATATTCGAGATAATTGTCCCTTGCTTTGATATCTGTTATCTAAATCATGTTTAGCTAGCAAATCTCTGAGAATGCTTAAAGATAGTTTTCTTATATGACTAATTTCATTTAATGAGCTCCTCACTTCTTGCAACAGTAAACTGGCAAGAAAGTGCTGTTTGCAAAACTCTTCAGAGAGACAAAAATGACTAAGAATCTCTGGTGATCGATAATTTGAGTTGATTATTAATGGAAGATTTAGAGGAATGTAGTGTTCGTGTGAGCAAACTTCTTGTATGAATTGTAATTTAAATTCTTGTAATGGTCTTGGATCGCCAGGCGACCATTTATCCATATATTGTCTTATTAATTTAAATACAAATCCACGATCCATTAAACTCATGCATTTTTTCGAAAAAATCGAAAGACTTTTATTCAAAAGATGAGTTTCATTCGGCAGTTCCTTATATCTAGATATTAAGTATGGTATTAGCACTTGAAGCAATGCTTCAATTCGTGCTTCATATTCCTTTGGAAATCTTTCATTTCTATGCATTTTAATTCTTCCACTTGTAATTAAATGATGAGACATCGACTTTATTACAATGTCAAAGATTATAGATGAAAATTTCATGAATTTGTTGACTAGTAGAAAGTCTGTATTTGAAGGATTGAGCAATGCTGGTAAATATTTAATAATTTCTTCATGAACAGTTTTCATTGTTTTCGGACTTGAGTTGAGTTTTCCTTGAAAAAATGGAGTTTTAAAATTGTATTTAACATACGAAAGAATCAGTTCCTTTCTGTTTGCATCCTCTGCTATCATTGTAATTAAATTGATCATAAGTCGAATTATATTACAGCTCACATCTTCATTATACGACTTGATTAGTAGTAAAAAAAGCTGATCGAAAATGGTTGGTAAAAAATATATCACAGAGCTTATATCAATAGCATGAGCAGCCTTTAGAACTTTACACGTTTCTATATCTGATGGAATTATTCCTTTTACGCTTTCCAACAATTTTTCAGAATGAGCAAAAAGGTTGTTCAAATGCTGATCAGTTGTAAAAACAGTTGAATTTAATCTAAATTTTACATTGTATATGGGTTTTTGGTTATCAATCCAAGAGATGTCTGGTCCTGAATTCTGTTGTAAAAAAACGATAACTTTCTTAAAAGCATGAATTTCTTTTAAAAATTAAAATTAGCTTACCCCTTTTCCTAGACCTAATGGCTGAATAGATAAGTATCCCGGGGGTAAAGAAGTAGCGATGGGCAACAATTGTTCTTCAACATTTAATTTTCCCTTATTTAGTAGAGGTAACCATGCATATCCGACAGGAGTTATTGGAGAATTTATGTTGTCTTTCTTCTTAATGTTACATGAAACATGTGAAAAGGAAAATAACAGATGGTGATGTGGTGTAAGATTTGTAGGAAGTTTTAGCTTGATTTCTTCGTACCAAGTTGGTAAAGTGTTATGATGCAATATCGGACATGTTAATTTAGATAAAAATATCTTTTCTTGCATAGGTCTACCGTAAATAGCCTATAAATGTATAAAATGTGTTTAAAAAATTTTTGAAATATAAAATTAAAAACAAAAATACAAATTTTTTCTTCGAATACGAAAATTACCTTCAGAGGCTTAGCATCAAAAGTATCAGTATCTCTTAACTCTATTGAAAGCGCTATATTTCTAGCTCGTGAAAAAATTTTTTGAGTCTCAAAGTTTAATGATATTGGATATACAAAAAGATGATTTTCAAAAACTGAGTAGGGATGAATTTCATTTTCATTATTTCCTGAAAATTCAACAATCTCAATTGTAGGATCTTCAAGAGTTGGTATAGAAAATGGCTTTACAGGCAAAAGTGTTGTGGTAAGACAGTCTGTAGAGAAAAAAAATTTGTAAAAAAATAGACGCAATAATTAAATTAAAATCCTACTTACTAGGAGGAATGTCTTCTTTAATTTCCTGGAAAGTAACTCTAAAAGAACCTGGTATTGTTGGAATTTTCGACATCTTTTCAGGTTTACGAAAGTCAGTTAAAATTTTCAAGATTTCTTCATCCTTTAGCTTGTTGCAATCTTGCTTAAATAATGCCATAAATTCGCTTTCATTATCAAGCTCATTACTGTAAAGTCGAAAAAGTGGCCTACAAGCCCAAACAAAAGGCATTCGATACTGACCCACTTTGTTTGCATATTGCTTTATTGTCTTTATTGTTTTTTGCTCCAACTTAATATTTGATGATTTTAGATAGGGCTCCGATGATTGATTTATACTGCCTTGTAATATTTTTTCAATTTTAACTACAATAAAGATATCAGAATGGGGTGATGTAACATTAAAAATAGCTTTTCGTGGATGCAAAACCCATTCTGAAGTAATGTCATGCAAAAAATTATTTCCATCTTCATTTGAATGAAATTGTTCATCAGAATCTCTATTAGAATATAAAAGATTCCGTGCATGCTTTTCATTTAAGTCAAAATAAAAATTTTCAGTCAATTTTCGTGCTGATTTTACATCATATAATGCTAAACTTGTAAAATAAGGCTCTATTTGGGAAAGTCTTTCATTTTCATCCAAAAAAGTTTGCAAACGAAACTTTATTTCTTCACATTTTATAATAATCCTATGTCCAAAGTTTTCTTTGAATATCTCTAAATTTGCTTCGGTAGAGATTCTGAAGAAGTTATTGTGATTTGTACCAAATAAACGTTTCCTGTTTTCTTTTCTTGCTTGAGAAATTGAAATGTCCGTTTCACGTCCATATTTAATAAGTTGTGGATTTAACGATTGATCCAAGCCTTTTAATGTGCCATATTTAATGTTTGGACTTGTCGAATGTGTCTTCACATTAGTTTTAGAAATTTTGTCATCTTGTAGCTTATTTTTTTGTAAAACAATTTTCAACTTTTTAATCCAATCATTCATTTCAGCTTCATTTTCTGCAACTAATACTACTGATTTTTGTCCACCTTCTGACATTTTCAATTCAAAACAAAATCTTCCACGTTTTGGATTTTGAATAACTTCAGAACAAAAATCCATGACAATAGTTGTTTTAGCATCGCATTGCTTTTCATCCTTATGCAATTCTAATATATATGTTCCATCTACTTCTTGTCTTAGATAGCAATAACGTTTTTTAAAGGATTTTGAACCTATATGAGCAAACATTCGCTCAGAAGAAGTATCTGCACCTTTTGATAAATATCCCTGTTTTGTAATTGAGCTCTTTTGAGTTGGGTTTTCTTCCATCCGATCTGAATCAATATCAACTTCGTAAATTTCTTCTTTTAAAACTTCGAAACTTGTATTTCTAAATTGGTTATTTCTCAAAGTTAGTTGTCATTTTCTCATTAAATAAATTAAATTTTTACCTTGGTAGATCTGACACTGTTTTTGCATATTCGCTATATTTATATTCAATGACATGACTAGGTGATTCATACGTTTTCAAAGATTGTCTTGTTAAAAGATTTCCTAGAAATGCATCTCTATTTTTGGCATTACTATCATCAAAAAAAATTCTTGGAGAGTTCGGTACCGTTGTTCTATATTTTTTTGGTATTATGATTTCCTAAACCAAACAGAACAGCTAAGTTAAAAAAAAAACGTTTTTCCTTTGAATATTTTATAACTAAAACTTACTGAAATATCATCATTTGGATACAATAATAGTTCTCGTTGTGGATCATTCTGAATTAGAGTTTTGTTTTTTGAAATAAAACCTTCAAAATCAATCGGATCTGCAATTATTGGTTTACTCTGAAAATATAAAGAGTATATCACAGATTAATTGTTTTAAATAAAATTTATAATTATCAAAATAATTCTAAATTTAGTATTTCAAAAAGTGGAGCTTAAACTTTTCTGTGTAAGTTCACTAACAAGATATAATATAAAAATATTTACTTTGCTACGATTGCAAAAAAATCTTTTAAACAATTCCATTTATTCTATAAAAATAAATTAATAAACACTCTAATCAAGAAATTCAAAATACAAACTGAATGAGTTTTTCGATACTTTTTTTACAATAATGTTTGGCTCAGGCAAAACTATTTCATTAGCTTTCTTCATTCAGATTTTGTCGTCATAAATAAAAATTAAAGTTATTAATCAGAAATTTAAAAAAATAGAAATAAACTTTGCCAAATAAATCAATTAAGAAGATAAAGATGTTACATTTTTTTTGTATTTTATTATCAATATTTTAAAAAAATGTTAAAGTCAATCTTTGTGAAGTCCCCATTTTTTTGTCAACTCATAATTAAAATTTTTTACGAAAAACGAATATGTATGTCAAAAACTTTCATTTTAATCATTTTAGGAAATGCTAATTGTATTCTGTACAAACAATTTTATTTTAAATTAATTTTTTAATATTGCTTTTTTAATGGTACAGATTTGAAAAAAGTTTTCAATAATTCGTTGTGCATAAAATTTTCGCGACACATTATAAAGACGATTTTTTTTGACAGTTTCTTTAAATTTGAGATACTTTCCCGAATAAGCAAAGAGCACGTCAAGAGCATGCTCAATTTTTAGCTTAGCACACTCATGTAAACATTCTCTTTCAAGCATTCCTTGTGACACTACTTTACCTTATTGTGCATGATCAGTGAGCATACTCAATTGAACTCATTACGAGCATGCTCAATGTTGAAGTGTGACATGCAACATTTTTATTTGAAATCAGAGTGTGCTTAATTTTTTTGGCTGTTGAGCATGCTTTATTGAGCACAGTCACAACGTGCTTATAAGCATGCTCAAGGATCTGCTCATCTGAGCACTAGCGTGCTCACAAAAGTGACACTTAATTTTTTTTGTCCATCACCTTATCAAAAAAAAAACAATATTAAGAGATCGTTATTAAAAAAGTATTTTGCAGATGTTATGCCATCAGATAAGTTCAAGAGGAAGTTAAGTTTTACTTCAATTCGCCTAATGATATTTTTGTATCAGACGGTTTAGTTTAGCAAGTTATTTCGCTTCGTATCTTGATCGAGTTTTAAAAAAGTAACTCAAGAAAAACAAATCGTTCCTCACGTTCAATTTGTTTGTGACGAGGCCCTAAAACATAAATGTTAACTTTTTATTTCAATTTTCACCGCATTTTGGAAACTTGTTTCTAAAAGGGAGCTTAATACACTTTGATCGGCAGGCAGCGATAAAAACTTTTGAACTGGACATCGTAGAGAGTTCGTGTTTGTTTTATTAGCTCAGGTCCATTGTTTTATTTTCGGCAAACGCATTTAAAAGTCTTGAAACAGTGTTTTTGTACAATAATTAATGATTTTTATATTTCATATGAAAAAACACGTGATAAGAGTGGGCGTGAAGTACGGCCGAGACCCATATCGACACAGTTCAAAAGTTATACCTAATTTATGTCATAATTATGTCAGTTACAAAAACACTTAGTTTAAATTTTGTCACCCTCGGGAACACTATGAACCAAATTCAAATCTCGGCCATTCTTCACACTTGTTTGAACCACACTTTCTCGTAAATGTTAAAATATTATTAAAAAGTAATTAATACTGAATTATGTCGCTATTTTGTCAAGTGTTTTAAGATAAAGAAAATTTTTTTTCGTTTCCACAGTGAAGAGTATGAACAAAATTCAGGTGGGGTAGTCGAAATTTTAGCTTTTGATTTTTTTTAAGCTATGCATTGCAAAAAATAATATTGGTATGTGATTTATGTCACAATTATGTCAATTCAAATAAAACATCCAAAAAATTTTTTTGATTAAAGTCCACCATAGAAAATCAATTTTCATTTTTGGACTAGGGGCAACCCTAGTCAAAATCTAGTTTTTCACTTTTTTTTCTTCGAGGATAAATCCAAATACAGTGAAACTTTGTATGAGTATACTAATGTTTATGTAAAACAGTTTTAAATATCTAAAACAAGAAATCTATTCTATATGTCGTCACAACCAAATTTATACAACCAAAAATTTGGTATGAAAAAAATTTAGGATGTTTTATTTGTATTTGTTTTAAGCACTAGAATATTTATGCAAAGTTTCAATCCATTTGGATAAACCCTCGAAGAAAAAAGTGACAAAATTGATTTTGACTAGGGTCGCCCCTAGTCCAAATTTAAAAATGTATTTCCTACTTGGTTCTTTGCTCAAAAAATTTTAGGATGTTTTATTTGTATTTGTTTTAAGCACTAGAATATTTATGCAAAGTTTCAATCCATTTGGATAAACCCTCGAAGAAAAAAGTGACAAAATTGATTTGGACTAGGGTCGCCCCCAGTCCAAAATTAAAAATGTATTTCCTACTTGGTTCTTTGCTCAAAAAATTTTAGGATGTTTTATTTGTATTTGTTTTAAGCACTAGAATATTTATGCAAAGTTTCAATCCATTTGGATAAACCCTCGAAGAAAAAAGTGACAAAATTGATTTTGACTAGGGTCGCCCCTAGTCCAAAAATGAAAATTGATTTTCTATGGTGTACTTTAGTCAAAAAAATTTTTTGGATGTTTTATTTGAATTGACATAATTGTGACATAAATCACATACCAATATTATTTTTTGCAATGCATAGCTTAAAAAAAAAAACTTTTTAAAAAAACTACGTTTTTCGCGTAGACTAAAAAGTAGAAAATAACTTTTATTCTTGGTTGTAAAGAATTTGGTTTTAAATTTTCAGATTATATTTAATAAATTTTTATATCCTAGTCAATATTGTTCACAAAGTTTCGAATAAGTGCACTTTGATCTTATCGTATAACTCAACAACTTAAAAACGTGGGCGCATTATAAGAGGAGAAATAAGTTTATGTGAAATCAATACTTTATGATAAACTTAAATTAATGCGCCCACGTTTTTAAGTTGTTGAGTTATACGATAAGATCAAAGTGCACTTATTCGAAACTTTGTGAACAATATTGACTAGGATATAAAAATTTATTAAATATAATCTGAAAATTTAAAACCAAATTCTTTACAACCAAGAATAAAAGTTATTTTCTACTTTTTAGTCTACGCGAAAAACGTAGTTTTTTAAAAAGTTTTTTTTTATAAAGTATTTTATTTTCTACTTTTTAGTCTTATTCTAATGAAATAGAGAAATAAAGATTATAGGGGGTTTATAGGTTACAGGTGTGTTGAACTCCACTTCGTTGCACTTCGTTACGTTCAACTGTTTATAGATTAGAGTAGGTTTATAGGTTACAGGTGTGTTGAACTTCACTTCGTTGCACTTCGTTACGTTCAACTGTTTATAGATCACAGGAGGTTTATAGGTTACAGGTGTGTTGAACTTCACTTCGTTGCACTTCGTTACGTTCAACTGTTTATAGATTACAGTAGGTTTATAGGTTACAGGTGTGTTGAACTTCACTTCGTTGCACTTCGTTACGTTCAACTGTTTATAGATTACAGTAGGTTCATAGGTTACAGGTGTGTTGAACTCCACTTCGTTGCGCTTCGTTACGTTCAACTGTTTATAGATTAGAGTAGGTTTATAGGTTACAGGTGTGTTGAACTTCACTTCGTTGCACTTCGTTACGTTCAACTGTTTATAGATCACAGGAGGTTTATAGGTTACAGGTGTGTTGAACTTCACTTCGTTGCACTTCGTTACGTTCAACTGTTTATAGATTACAGTAGGTTTATAGGTTACAGGTGTGTTGAACTTCACTTCGTTGCACTTCGTTACGTTCAACTGTTTATAGGTTACATTAGGTTTATAGGTTACAGGTGTGTTGAACTTCACTTCGTTGCACTTCGTTACGTTCAACTGTTTATAGATTACAGTAGGTTTATAGGTTACAGGTGTGTTGAACTTCACTTCGTTGCACTTCGTTACGTTCAACTGTTTATAGATTACAGTAGGTTCATAGGTTACAGGTGTGTTGAACTCCACTTCGTTGCACTTCGTTACGTTCAACTGTTTATAGATTAGAGTAGGTTTATAGGTTACAGGTGTGTTGAACTTCACTTCGTTGCACTTCGTTACGTTCAACTGTTTATAGATCACAGTAGGTTTATAGGTTACAGGTGTGTTGAACTTCACTTCGTTGCACTTCGTTACGTTCAACTGTTTATAGATTACATTAGGTTTATAGGTTACAGGTGTGTTGAACTTCACTTCGCTGCACTTCGTTACGTTCAACTGTTTATAGATTACAGTAGGTTTATAGGTTACAGGTGTGTTGAACTTCACTTCGTTGCACTTCGTTACGTTCAACTGTTTATAGATTACAGTAGGTTTATAGGTTACAGGTGTGTTGAACTTCACTTCGTTGCACTTCGTTACGTTCAACTGTTTATAGATTACAGTAGGTTCATAGGTTACAGGTGTGTTGAACTCCACTTCGTTGCACTTCGTTACGTTCAACTGTTTATAGATTAGAGTAGGTTTATAGGTTACAGGTGTGTTGAACTTCACTTCGTTGCACTTCGTTACGTTCAACTGTTTATAGATCACAGTAGGTTTATAGGTTACAGGTGTGTTGAACTTCACTTCGTTGCACTTCGTTACGTTCAACTGTTTATAGATTACATTAGGTTTATAGGTTACAGGTGTGTTGAACTTCACTTCGCTGCACTTCGTTACGTTCAACTGTTTATAGATTACAGTAGGTTTATAGGTTACAGGTGTGTTGAACTTCACTTCGTTGCACTTCGTTACGTTCAACTGTTTATAGATTACAGTAGGTTTATAGGTTACAGGTGTGTTGAACTTCACTTCGTTGCGTTCAACTGTTTATAAATTACCAGTTTTCAATGGGAAATTAGTAACGACTTTCAAAATTTTTCATTCGTTTTATAAAATTTAATTTTTTTAAAGCATTCATTAGTAAAGTACATTAAAAATCACTCGTAAAGATTTTGTGTTTATCCGAACCATTCCTACTACATAACGTGTGGATTCTTAACATAAAGATGCAAATCAAATCTATATGTAACGTATTTATAACGGATTTTCAAATTTAAATTCAATGAATATCATTTATATGTTATGCAAAAATACGTCAAACCGTTAATAAAAAGAAAAGTCAATTTAATTAAGTTGGTGAAGTATTATAAATAATGCAATACATTTAAAACAGCATAAATTTATGCTCAAACTATGTGTGCTAAATGCACATCGCATATTAATAGTTATTTTGCATTAATTCGTAACGGACTTGTGCTTAACGGTTTTTTTGAAAATTCAAATTTTCACTTACGAATATTCATGAAAAAATTACATGTCAATTTTTTTGTCTTACCAGAATATCTTTAGCTGCTCAAATTTATGGTATAATTAATAATTAGTAATATTAATTAAACTATAAAAAATTTCGACTACCCCACCTGAATTTTGTTCATACTCTTCACTGTGGAAACGAAAAAAAAAATTTCTTTATCTTAAAACACTTGACAAAATAGCGACATAATTCAGGATTAATTACTTTTTAATAGTATTTTAACATTTCCTCATGATCTGTAATTGAACGCAAAATAATTAAAAAATCAAACACTGATCGCTAACACAAAAATGCGCTTAAGTCCCTCGATCAATAAAACGAGGACTTCTGTAATTTTTTAAAAAGAAAAGCAAGATTGTCACAGGTTGTTGTTTGTAACCTATTCACAAATACAAATGTTCCTGATATTCTATTTTTAAATTTATTTACTTTTTTATTATATTTTTGTATTGTGTTAGAATTGTATTGTATTCCATTGATGCAATTTTCAACACATCAAATTTTTTAAAAAAAATTATCTGCTTTTTACAGCACGTTTATGAAAAATTCATTGAGTAATGTTGACTCAAATTGTTGAATAAATGTTAATATCAGCTAAATAGTAGGATTATGTAAGTTCTTAATTAATAATGATGACATCACAAATAGAATTGTTTTTTTTTCTGTTTGTAAAATTGCTTAGGTACATACATTTATTTTGTATTCATGTAGTAAACAGTAATTACAAATTTTTAAATTAATATTGAAGTATAAATTTTATAAATAAATCAAAACACAAAACCAGTTTCAAACTTTCGTTTTACTAACAATAGCTGGAAAAAAATCGGTTGATCTATTCATCTGTTTTATTTCATATGTTGATTTAGATTTACCACATGCGAACAGTATTGTGTTCTGCAGTAGTTTAAAAACATTATATTGAACCTTTGCCAAAAAACAAGACTGTAAGGCGATTCCACAGATCACTCAAATTCCGAAAAAACTATTTTTTTTTGATTCGTGTTCCTTAAAAACCCTATTTAAGCTAGCTAACGTTTCATGGAAATTAAATAAGCAGGTTCATTTCATTCTATCTTTTTATTAATATCGTTTTAATCATGAAATTCAATTAATTTGTTGCTTTTAAGTTCCAACTTATTAATAAATTGAAAGAATGGTGAATTACCAATTATTTGGTTTAGGCTAGACGTGATAAAAACAATTAGGAAGCCTAAATTTCGCATTCGAAGTAAGTCCCCTGCAGCAGTTTCTAGAAAAAAGACTAAGCGACACTCATAAAAATCAAAATTTATAGTAACAATTGTGGATTGAACAGAATGAAACAGCAGTTTTTTACATAAGGTAAATCATAGGTAGATATATAAAGTTCTCTGATTAAAAAGGAATCTTGATTTAAGCAATGTGTTTAATCCCAATGAATGCGTGCAAAACATACTAGCGCCATTTCGAAGAAAATACTGTTTTAAAAAAAATTGAATAAAAATACTAGTCTTTTTGAGCTTAAAGATTAATTTGTTTTTAGAATAAAATAAAACAGGATTAAATAATTTTAATAAAATAACTGGCGAAAAACATAATATAGAAATTGAACATTTCTTGTGAATATGAAAGATAAATTTTTTTGTTGGTTTATATTGTTTATAACATTTCCGGCTCAAATTTCGAAGTTTTTCGAAATGATGCTGCACTAGCTTGGTGCAAATATTTGAAATTCGAAATTAGTAGATCTTATTTTTTCCGTTCAAATTTCAATAACTTTTCATGACTTTTTCAAAATAATAATTTTGATCTTAGGGTTCATTCGCAAACTCCGTACCAAAATCTACTACTTTTTCGAAAACCTCCCTACCCTCCCCCTTCCTCCCTTAAAGCGTGACGTAAAAAAGATAAAGTTTGAATTAAACGCAGCCAGAAAAAAAAAATGTTAACATTTTTTATAGTAAATATTTTCTTTGTATTTTGTAATAAAGTTTGTTGGTCTTAAATCTCAAAATCACTAGAGTCTAGAAGAAAAATTTGCTAGAAATCCATAATGCACAGATCAATTAAACAATTACCATTAAAAGATCTTGATGAATAACTTTTGACACTGATTCTCTAATAGACACTGCCATTCCACGGGAATTTAAATTCCTAGTAAACTTTCTTTCGGTCATATTTTTGATAATTTTATTTCTTTCACTTCATGAATTTAAAATTCACTGTAAATCATACAACACAATACTAATTTTTGCTGTATTATCTAAACAACTTTCGGTCGGTTTCTTCTCTCCAAATATTTTCAAAAACTTGTACCTAAAAAACTTAAAAAATATAATAGTCTAGCTTTGAGCAGAGATCTCAAAATTGATGTTTATTCGACAAATTTTTCTTTGGAACATGAGATTACACGGTTACTCTCGATTGATTTTAAATTTTCAAAAATAATGTTTAAAAAATTAAACTATGAAATTAAAGTTAGCACACCTAAAGTTAAAACAAATACTTATACACATGTACATTTATTATTTGGTATTTAACAGTATTTAATAAAATTGAGATAAAACATATTTAGTACAAAAAAAAAAGGTTTTTGTAAAAAGTAAAATCGTTATTTTTATTTTATTTTATTTGGACTTTCGATGTTTCTACTTAGCATATATTCAAAATAGTATTTTACCCAAAAATAAAACATTCCAATCCCACAATAGACACTTGTTAGCATTAGCGGCATAAATGGTAATTTATGATCAAATTTTAACAAATATTGCAATATGAACTCATAAATAGGAAGTAAGAATAGTCCAAAACAATAAATCTTTTCAATTACTAATAGCTTAGGATAACTGTTTTGTTTTAAAATGTAGTAATTAATCATGATGTAAAGCACGAATAATGATAATTTCAAAATTATTAATTCTTTGGAATACAATAAAGGTGTCAATGAATAGAGTCCAAAAACAGCTAAGAAAAAAGAGGAATTCATTTCAGAGACACAGTTTGAACTTAAAATCTGGATTGGAATCAATATCATCAAAATAGCTTTCTCGTGAACGTGCCACCCAAACATAAACGAGCATGCTGCGCAAATTGTTAAAGGTTTTAAAAAGTTTGCGACTGAATCTTCTCTATTTCGAAGAATTTTTATACAGCACGGAATCATTGAGATTGTTGTAATTATAAACGTTATCTTTGGTGTTATTTGAGGGAGAACCGAATAAAATTGCTCTTGAACTAATCCACCAGTGCTTGAATTTGAAATTCGTACATTCAAAATAATGGATAAAACTTTATCCAGCATATTATACATAGCCCAAAAATTAGGAGCCCAATATGCATGTGTCAAACCTCTTTTAAAAGGAAAAAGTCTAGAAAGCAATTGTGGCAAATGCTCAATAAAGGGACCAAACGAAATTGCTGTTACTGTCAAAACTATACTTCCTAATTTTAAAGTGTTGATGATAACTGTATTTTTTGATGAAAAACAATAATGTCGGAGTAAATATAATATATATACAGGTGCTATGTAAATGAATATATGCTTCATGTTTAGTAACAGTGCATAGTAAAATGCAGATTTTAAATACTTTTTCTGGATCATGTTTCCACAACTTAGTAAAAGTATTCCAAATAAAATTCCGTTGTACTGAAAATGTATATGATCGACATAAATCAGTCCTATGTTTCCTAATAAAAGTAAGGAATGGTGAATTCTTCTATTTCCTTTAACATATTTGGTGCATCTTTAACAAACAAAATAATCATGTTAGTTAAAAGTCATAAATGTTTATGTATGAAAAACTTACTGCCAAACGCCAAAGAAGTAAATAATATCAGTAAATATTACCGATAATCTTTGGAAAAGTACCGTATTAAATGAGACATAGTCTATATTTTCAACTTTTAACATCTGATCATCAAATAGTTTCGCAGCAAAGGATAAAACATATTCAAAATATGCAAAAAACGGTGGATAGTCGAGAGTCCAAACTGATGTTTCCTCATAATACCACTGTGAAATACTTCGATTGCTTGTGATTGCTAGCCAATTTCTGTGCACGAAGAAATCTGTAGAATAACTAGCAAAAAAAAAATTATTTTAAAAACAATTCTTTTTTACATAATATTAGGTGCTATAAAACATTAATTTTCTTTAATACATATTGAATTTAACATAATGCTAATGACGATTTTGTCGTATATTTAACTTACTATGCTGGAAGAAATAATATTTTTAAACTTGATATAAATAAAAATTCGTAAAACATGATTACGTTGCGAGTGTTCTAAAACAAAAATTTGTGTGTGTGCATGATATTATCCACAACGTAAATGATGTTGGAAAATAAGAATCTAGTAGTAATTCTGATCGATCTAAAGCGACAATGAGAATATATAATATGTATTGTAATTGGAAACAGCTTTTTGCTTGGTTTTAATGGACACCAGAAGGGTTGAAAAGAATCTAAGAGAATATGTGACTCAACAACAACGACAATTTCGATACAGCAGTGTCAGATTTTATAATATTAAGATTTTAAGTAATTAATTTGTGTACACTAAGACGTTAAATTAAGTCGGAAAGTTCTAAGCAAATGAACGGAAGACAAAATATTAATATTTTTCTATTTTTATATAGTTTATTAAGCCAAAGAAAATCTATAAAAGAAAACTGAGATATTTTAAATTCTTTATATATTATGTACAATATAGCTTAATTAGGTTTGTCAAAAGCATATTTTGTTCTGGTGTGATTAAATGGTGACTTGAAATCATGTCGCAAATATCTTTTATCGACTCATATTGCCGGGTTTTACATAAATGGACTAGCATTTCAAAGAGTAAAATTAAATCACTTTTCCAACATTTAGACAAGCGAGAATTGTTTAAAATGCTCTCAGAACTAAAATTTTCTGTGCTCCACAAAAATTTTTCCACAATTTTCACATGAGATGGGGACTGATGGTTTGTTGGTAATTCCAAAATGAGCAGTAGCAATAGTCGACTAAATTCTACTCTAATTAAAACATCTGAGTATAAATTTTCACATTTTCTCTCGGCAAAGTCTTCAATTATTTCTGTAAGTTTTTCTAACGCCAATATGTAATCATTTGAGCAAATATTTTCATTACTTGCTTTTTCTAGTTCATAAATTCTGTGAGTATGAGAACTAAATTCGCTGGTGATGCTCAAATTTTTATTAATTTCATTGAATTCTCTAATGATGCATGCTTTCATTACTGGATCTTTCTCAGAATACAGTGCCTGTGAATAACATCTATACGCTCCCTTGATAAATATATAAAAAACACTCGTTAGATATTTTAAAAATATATAATTTATCTTTAGTTTGTACCTCAACACTTGAATTATCATTCATAAATCCAAGCATGTTTTTTCTTCCACTGGATCTTCGAAACATCCTAGCTCCCCTTAGTAAAGCACTTTGTGCTTCAATATCACTTGAACAACATTTGGCAACCATTATAAGTAAACATAGACCTCCATAATTTGGTAAACTTAATGTTTTGTCAAATTTTAATGAAAGTTGGTTGAACTGATTGAAATCGTTAGTGTCGTGCTTCTTGAAAACAACTCTCTGTGATTTCTTTAGCTTATTTGCTGAGCTTTTGAACTCTTCTATAAGATTCATTTTTTTTAAAATTTATTATAAGAAAATATTGAAAAAGTCCTCTTGGTATTGATCGAGGGATTTCAGCGCATTTTTGACGCATTGATAAGTATTTGATTAGTAAATTAAGGCGAATAAATAGCATAATAGCATAGTATAATTACACCCTTAGAAGGATTTAAGTGCCTTGCTGGTCGAATAGGTAAGGCGCTTGGATCAAATTTGGTATGATAACTCGAAGGTCGTCGGTTCGAATCCAGCCATTTCCAAATTTGTTCTTTTTCAGAAGTTTAGATACTTTGACTGCTTAATGTACGAGATCAAGCCATGATTGGGCATTTTGGGCAACGTTGGATTAAGGAACGGATCAGGAACTTGAAGTGGAGCGGGAGAAATAGGAACGAGAGCTACAAGATTACCTTATAATGGAATATTGTCAGAACGGACCTGAAATGTATCACGTCACGCTCACAGAAGATTGAAACGAGAACCTGAATTTAATTGAAACCTAGATTTGAAGATTAGAAGCTTGATTCTACGTCACCCATAGTGATATGAAATGTATCACAAATCAATGTAAAAAGTAAAACATGTATAAATACTAATTCTTCCGGACGGTAACGTCGACAAATAAATAATAATAATATCTAGGTATTATAAATGATAAATATTTGAACTCATTACATGCTGTATTTTTCAAATTTTATGAATTACGTGCAAAATCATGCGTAATTTAAAACGGACGTAAATTTATATAATTAACTACCCTGTTTTTTCGTTATAAGCTAGTAGCTTAGTAAAGAAATTGGACTTCAATGAATCATAAGGCATTGAAACTGATACTTAGAAAGTTGAAAAAGATTAATTGAACTTTATATTTGGGAGTAGCTTAGTAAAGATTACAAAAATTTTCAGGTTCAAAAAAAACTTTGCTAAGCTAGTAGCTTAGTAACGAGTAGAAGCTTATAACGAAAAAACAGGGTACGAAGTAATTCAAATTTTAAAGATTTTTTCAAATTTGAAATTATGGAGGCAATTAAAAAAATTTGAACAGGTTACACTCTTTAAAGAAAAATTTCGACAAGTAGAACTGTATTGAAATCAAAACCATCATTAATTATAACAAAAACTCACTGTTTTAAGCTTTGAAACTATTCGATAGACTAATAACTTGATAAAACTTAGCCTAGCAGACAAAGTGCATTATTAATCTACCTATTAAAAAACAAGCTTTTAAGAATTGTTTAAAATTTTAGTACATACATTTACCTAGTACTGGGGTGGGTCATTCATAAATTTTATTCAGAGTTTCTCTTGTGACGTCACTTTTGAACAGCACTATTGGTGAACCTTAAATTTTTTTTAAAACTTATTAAAAGTAATGAAGCATCTTAAGTTCCTTTCAAGAACTGTATTTGTAAGAAATAATGTAGAAGAAGCTTGTAGAGTGCTAAATCGAGTATTAGGAAAGGAAGGAATTTTCGATCAATATAGACGAACTAGATATTATGAAAAACCATATCAAGTAAAATCAAAATAATTGTGAATCACTTTTAAGAACCCAAGAACAAAAAATTAATTTTGGACATAACTGTTTATTTGTACGAATTTTAGGTGCGCAGAAGAGTGAATTTCGAGAAATGCAAAGCTATTTATAACGAAGACATGGATAGAAAAATACAATTTATATTGAGGAAAAATAGAACGGAGCCATTTCCAGGACAATTCTAAATAAATAATTCTTCCTCCTTAGTTTGATGTTCTTAATAAAAATAAATAATAATTAGAAATTATGTTTTTTTTCTTCTTTAATTCAGTTTATATTTACAATCAATCATACGCAAGTTGCCATATCACTTATAAATCCTTTCTTAAGATCCCGCCGTTCTTTGGTTGAAAATCGAAACATTTAAACTGCAAACGTTAAATTATTAAGGTATTTAATTAAACTCGAATATCGGTCAATGGATGTAAAGATTTTAATGGAAATAATAAGTCATGAAAAGCTTTTTGTGATTTGAAAGTTACATACACATTAATAAATTTCAAATTTATTTTGACTGTTACTTTTAAATTGGTTTCTTACTTCGAAATTTTTAACTAATTCACACCTTATTAATTATAATGTTTTCATTAAAACATGAGGAAAGATTAATTTTTCATTCAGTTTCTCTTCTTTTTCCTTTTTATTTCAGAGGTAAGGTAAAAATCGTTGAAAGATTTTTTGATATTAATTTCTTGCAGTATTAATGTGCTTCGATAAACTTTGGAATGGCGGTTTTAAAGCAAATTTTCTGCATCTTCTATAGTCTACTTTATCTCTTTGCATGTTTTGGAAGAAAATGTAATATACTCTCACTACTAATCCTAACACAATTAATTTCAATAGGGTTGATAGAATGATGTAAAGCATAATGGGGGAAAAAAATAAACATTCTGAAATATTCACAAAATGTGTGGAACTTACATAAAAAAAATAAGTTGAAAAAATAGTAAAATGAAAAAATAAAATTCCATTTAATTTTATTTTTTATCTTGAAATGTCGTCTTTCTTGTATCATTTATCCAAAAAGTTCGGTGATCCTTATTGTTTTCATTAATAATTATAAGTTTTAAAATTTTATTCGTTTTGAATAATTCAACTTTATCAAACTTATTTCTTGTCGCGCAAATATTTAAAAATAAATTAACTAATCAAAAATCAAATAGAAACCATACAATAAAAAAGTACAATCCAAGACAGAGTTTAAGGAATAATATAAAAGTTTGTTAATTTGAAGCACTAAGAAAAATTCTCCTTCCATGCAAAATATGATTGATTTAAAATGTAATTTTCTGTATTTTCTAATTTCGGTGTTTTTTTATGGTCTTTCCTTTTTTTCTGTTTTGTTCCTACTCACTCCAGGGAAATAACAAAAAAAAAATAAGGAGAATACAAAATATATTACAAATTTTTAACCTTTTGTTAGACTCGCGAGAGAAAGAAAATAAAAGTGAGCTGGTTGTTGACTTTTCCTCTGATCTGTAATATTATTATGTTTTGGATTGTAAAGTTATAAATTGTTTTTTTTCTTCTTGTTATTATTTTTTCTTGTTTGAAAGTTTGTGTTTATCTTCTTTATCTTTCAATATCCAATAGTGTATTTAAATCAAATCTGCGACATTACACGGCATTTCTTCAATTGTAGTATGATAATGTTGTTCAAGTTCTTGAAGAGCGCGACGATCAGCATCAGTAATGAAATTAATAGCAACACCTTTACGTCCGAAACGACCACCACGTCCAATTCTTAAGAATAAATAATGAATATTTTGTTGTTATTCAGATCTAATTGAATGAGTTCGCAAAATACATTACCTGTGAATATAGTTTTCTCTAATGCTAGGCAAATCATAATTTATAACCAAAGAGACTTGTTGGACATCAATACCACGAGCAAGCAAATCAGTAGTAATGAGAACACGAGATGACCCACTACGGAATTGTTTCATGATCATATCTCTTTCACGTTGATCCATTTCACCATGCATAGCAGAGACAGTAAAGTTTTTAGCAGTCATTTCCTCAGTCAATTGATCTACCTTACGGCGAGTGTTACAGAAGATAACTGCTTGAGTTATACTTAATGTGTCATACAAATCGCAAAGTGTTCCCAATTTCCATTGTTCTTGTTTAACGTTCACATAAAATTGTCTGATACCCTCCAATGTCAATTCTTCCTTCTTGACAAGAATTTTAACTGGATCGCGCATAAAGTATTTGCTGACTTCCAAAACTTCTGGAGGCATTGTGGCCGAAAGTAAAATCACTTGGACATCATTTGGAAGCTTCTTAAAAACTTCTTGAATTTGATCTTTGAATCCACGAGATAACATCTCATCGGCTTCATCCAAGACGAACAATTTGATGTCAGCTGTACGAAGGAATTTCCTTTGAATCATATCTTGGACACGTCCTGGAGTTCCGACGACAACATGAACTATTGATTGTAGCAAAAAAACAAACAGTATTTTCATGTATGTTTCATAAAGTTAATTTTTTTTTCTATAAATTACCTCCTTGTTCGAGATTCCTCATGTCTTCACGAACGTTGGTTCCTCCAATGCAAGCATGAGATTGAGCATTCATAAAGTCTCCCAAAGCAACAACAACTTTTTGAATTTGAGTAGCCAACTCACGAGCTAATCGAAAGAAAGTTTATGAGTTATATTTTCACGAATAATCATTAAATCTTTATCATACTTGGAGCCAGGACTAATGCTTGACAACCGCGAACATCAGTGTCGATTGTTTGAAGAATAGCAATTGAAAAAGTAGCCGTTTTACCAGTTCCTGATTGGGCTTGGGCGATTACATCTCTTCCACGAATGCATGGAATGATGGCTCTTTGTTCTAATGAATTTAAAAAAAGGAGTAAAATTTTTAATTAGCAAATATAGCCGGCTTTCTTCATAAAGTTTGTAAGTAAACAAGATAAAAAGATTTTAACTTACGAATAGCCGATGGTTTTTCAAAACCATAAGCGTAAATTCCACGAAGAAGTTTTTCCTTCAAGTTCATGTTATCAAAATTGTCAACAACTTCATCCCAATTAGATTCGATGATTCCTCCAACTTCCATTCCAGCGGGTCCATCGTAGGTTTCTGGGGCACGGTTATCTTCCCTATAATTGATAATTTGTATCAATTTTATTTCATAATTTAATGAAATTGATAGAAAATGTATAAAATCAAAATGCATCTACTCAATGACTCATAATTAGCTTGACTTTTTTTAAACTCTGTTTAACATAACCTCGATTTTCACTTAAAAAATTAATTATCGGCTATATTAATATTTCATTCTAATTATAACATTAAGATTAAAAATTTAACTGACTTTCTTCACTTTAAAATATAGCAAATCTTTGTTTTAAAAACTGAAGAAGAAGACAGACGGACGAACTCCAAGCGAAAAGAATTAAGCGAAATTTTTGCTAGAGAAAAAAGAGTTTGAACAGTTTTTATTTTTGCAGATTTTACTATAATATAAACTTCTCATTTGAGTATTGTTTGCTTTTTCTGTTGCATTATAGACTTATATACACTTTTAATATAATTTTGTCACCAGATTAACAGTTTATTCGTACATTTTCTTAATTTTTTGAGTGTTACTCGTAGAACAAATTGTAGTTCAATAAATGATTTTTCTAAAAAGGAAATGCTTGTACTAAATTTTCAATTAAGTTGTTGGCCCTCTTTCAAAAAAGTTTAGTTTAAATTTTCTACGACCAGTATTTTGTTGTTGATGTTGTTGTTGTTGTTGTAAAGTTTCCAAATTATCATCTTTTTCTGGGGTTAATAAATCTTTTTAAAACAAGTGTATTGGGTAGAAACCCAATGCGGATATATTCACACCGTAACATCAAAAGTCTTATGGATAGATCTAATTTATGTCAGCTACAAAAACACTTAGCTTGAATTTTGTCACCCTCGGGAACACTATGAACCAGTATAGCTGATTTTGGTCCAAATCTCGGCCACACTTCACACTTATTTGAACCACATTTTCTCGTAAATGTTAAAATATTATTAAAAAGTAATTAATCCTGAATTATGTCGCTATTTTGTCAAGTGTTTTAAAATAAAGAATTTGTTTTTTTCGTTTCCACAGTGAAGAGTATGAACAAAATTCAGATGGGGTAGTCGAAATTTTAGATTTCGATTTTTAAAGCTATGCATTACAAAAAGTAATATTGGTATGTGATTTATGTCAAAATTATGTCAATTCAAATAAAACATCCAAAAATTTTTTTGAGCAAAGAACCAAGTAGGAAATACATTTTCAATTTTGGATTAGGGGCGACCCTAGTCAAAATCAATTTTTTCGCTTTTTTTCTTCGAGGGTTTATACAAATGGATTGAAACTTTGCATAAATATTCTAGTGTTTAAAACAAATACAAATAAAACATCCTAAAATTTTTTTGAGCAAAGAACCAAGAAGGAAATACATTTTCAATTTTGGACTACGGGCGACCCTAGTCAAAATCAATTTTGTCACATTTTTCTTCGAGGGTTTATACAAATGGATTGAAACTTTGCATAAATATTCTAATGCTTAAAACAAATACAAATAAAACATCCTAAAATTTTTTTGGGTAATCAATTTTGGACTAGGGACGACCCTAATAAAATCAATTTTGTCACTTTTTTTCTTCGAGGGTTTATACAAATGGATTGAAACTTTGCATAAATATTCTAGTGTTTAAAACAAATACAAATAAAACATCCTAAAATTTTTTTGAGCAAAGAACCAAGTAAGAAATACATTTTCAAATTTGGACTACGGGCGACCCTAGTCAAAATCAATTTTGTCACTTTTTTTCTTCGAGGGTTTATACAAATGGATTGAAACTATGCATAAATATTCTAGTGCTTAAAACAAATACAAATAAAACATCCTAAAATGTTTTTGAGCAAAGAACCAAGAAGGAAATACATTTTCAATTTTGGACTAGGGGCGACCCTAGTCAAAATCAATTTTGTCACTTTTTTTCTTCGAGGGTTTATACAAATGGATTGAAACTATGCATAAATATTCTAGTGCTTAAAACAAATACAAATAAAACATCCTAAAATGTTTTTGAGCAAAGAACCAAGAAGGAAATACATTTTCAATTTTGGACTAGGGGCGACCCTAATAAAATCAATTTTGTCACTTTTTTTCTTCGAGGGTTTATCCAAATGGATTGAAACTATGTATAAATATTCAAGTGCTTAAAACAAATACAAATAAAACATCCTAAAATGTTTTTGAGCAAAGAACCAAGAAGGAAATACATTTTCAATTTTGGACTAGGGGCGACCCTAGTCAAAATCAATTTTGTCACTTTTTTTCTTCGAGGGTTTATACAAATGGATTAAAACTATGCATAAATATTCTAGTGCTTAAAACAAATACAAAATAAAACATCCTAAAATGTTTTTGAGCAAAGAACCAAGAAGGAAATACATTTTCAATTTTGGACTAGGGGCGACCCTAATAAAATCAATTTTGTCACTTTTTTTCTTCGAGGGTTTATCCAAATGGATTGAAACTATGTATAAATATTCAAGTGCTTAAAACAAATACAAATAAAACATCCTAAATATTTTTTGAGCAAAGAACCAAGTAGGAAATACATTTTCAATTTTGGACTAGGGGCGACCCTAGTCATAATCAATTTTGTCACTTTTTTCTTCGAGGGTTTATACAAATGGATTGAAACTTTGCAAAAATATTCTACTGCTTAAAAAAAAATACAAATAAAACATTTTAAAATTTTTTTGAGCAAATCACTTTTTTTCTTGGAGGGTTTATACAAATGGATTGAAACTATGCATAAATATTCTAGTGCTTAAACAAATACAAATAAAACATCCTAAAATTTTTTTGAGCAAAGAACCAAGTAGGAAATACATTTTCAATTTTGGACTAGGGACGACCCTAGTCAAAATCAATTTTGTCACTTTTTTTCTTCGAGGGTTTATACAAATGGATTGAAACTTTGCATAAATATTTTAGTGCTTAAAACAAATACAAATAAAACATTCTAAAATTTTTTTGAGCAAAGAATCAAGAAGGAAATACATTTTCAATTTTGGACTAGGGGCGACCCTAGTCAAAATCAATTTTGTCACTTTTTTTCTTCGAGGGTTTATACAAATGGATTGAAACTTTGCATAAATATTCGAGTGCTTAAAACAAATACAAATAAAACATCTTAAACTTTTTTTGAGCAAAGAACCAAGTAGGAAATACATTTTTAATTTTGGACTAGGGTAGGCCCTAGTCAAAATCAATTTTGTCACTTTTTTTCTTCGAGGGTTTATACAAATGGATTGAAACTTTGCATAAATATTTTAGTGCTTAAAACAAATACAAATAAAACATTCTAAAATTTTTTTGAGCAAAGAATCAAGAAGGAAATACATTTTCAATTTTGGACTAGGGGCGACCCTAGTCAAAATCAATTTTGTCACTTTTACTCTTCGAGGGTTTATCCAAATCGATTGAAACTTTGTATAAGTTTTTAAATGTTTAAAACAAATACAAATAAAACATCCTAAAATTCTTTTGAGCAAAGAACCAAGTAGGAAATACATTTTCAATTTTGGACTAGGGGCGACCCTAGTCAAAATCAATTTTGTCACTTTTTTTCTTTGAGGGTTTATACAAATGGATTGAAACTTTGCATAAAAATTCGAGTGCTCAAAGCAAATACAAATAAAACATCTTAAACTTTTTTTGAGCAAAGAACCAAGTAGGAAATACATTTTTAATTTTGGACTAGGGTAGGCCCTAGTCAAAATCAGTTTTGTCACTTTTTTTCTTCGAGGGTTTATACAAATGGATTGAAACTTTGCATAAATATTTAAGTGCTTAAAACAAATACAAATAAAACATCCTAAAATTTTTTTGAGCAAAGAACCAAGTAGGAAATACATTTTCAATTTTGGACTAGGGGCGACCCTAGTCAAAATCAATTTTGTCACTTTTTTTCTTCGAGGGTTTATATAAATGGATTGAAACTTTGCATAAATATTTAAGTGCTTAAAACAAATACAAATAAAACATCCTAAAATTTTTTTGAGCAAAGAACCAAGTAGGAAATACATTTTCAATTTTGGACTAGGGGCGACCCTAGTCAAAATCAATTTTGTCACTTTTTTTCTTCGAGGGTTTATATAAATGGATTGAAACTGTGCATAAATATTCTAATGCTTAAACAAATACAAATAAAACATCCTAAAATTTTTTTGAGCAAAGGACCAAGTAGGAAATACATTTTCAATTTTGGACTAGGGGCGACCCTAGTCAAAATCAATTTTGTCACTTTTTTCTTCGAGGGTTTATCCAAATGGATTAAAACTTTGTATAAAGATTTGAGTGCTTAAAACTAATACAAATAAAATATTCTAAATTTTTTTTGAGCAAAGAACCAAGTAGGAAATACATTTTCAATTTTGGACTAGGGGCGACCCTAATAAAATCAATTTTGTCACTTTTTTCTTCGAGGGTATATCCAAATGGATTGAAACTTTGTATTAATATTTAAGTGCTTAAAAAAATACAAATTAAACATCCTAAAATTTTTTGAGCAAAGAACCAAGTAGAAAATACATTTTCAATTTTGGACTAGGGGCGACCCTAGTCAAAATCAATTTTGTCACTTTTTTTCTTCGAGGGTTTATACAAATGGATTAAAACTATGCATAAATATTCTAGTGCTTAAAACAAATACAAATAAAACATCCTAAAATGTTTTTGAGCAAAGAACCAAGAAGGAAATACATTTTCAATTTTGGACTAGGGGCGACCCTAGTCAAAATCAATTTTGTCACTTTTTTTCTTCGAGGGTTTATACAAATGCATTGAAACTATGTACAAATATTCTAGTGCTTAAAACAAATACAAATAAAACATCCTAAAATTCTTTTGAGCAAAGAACCAAGTAGGAAATACATTTTCAATTTTGGACTAGGGGCGACCCTAGTCAAAATCAATTTTGTCACTTTTTTCTTTGAGGGTTTATACAAATGGATTGAAACTATGCATAAATATTCTAGTGCTTAAACAAATACAAATAAAACATCCTAAAATTCTTTTGAGCAAAGAACCAAGTAGGAAATACATTTTCAATTTTGGACTAGGGGCGACCCTAGTCAAAATCAATTTTGTCACTTTTTTTCTTTGAGGGTTTATACAAATGGATTAAAACTATGCATAAATATTCTAGTGCTTAAAACCAATACAAAATAAAACATCCTAAAATGTTTTTGAGCAAAGAACCAAGAAGGAAATACATTTTCAATTTTGGACTAGGGGCGACCCTAATAAAATCAATTTTGTCACTTTTTTTCTTCGAGGGTTTATCCAAATGGATTGAAACTATGTATAAATATTCAAGTGCTTAAAACAAATACAAATAAAACATCCTAAATATTTTTTGAGCAAAGAACCAAGTAGGAAATACATTTTCAATTTTGGACTAGGGGCGACCCTAGTCATAATCAATTTTGTCACTTTTTTCTTCGAGGGTTTATACAAATGGATTGAAACTTTGCAAAAATATTCTACTGCTTAAAAAAAAATACAAATAAAACATTTTAAAATTTTTTTGAGCAAATCACTTTTTTTCTTGGAGGGTTTACACAAATGGATTGAAACTTTGCATAAATATTCGAGTGC